GCAACAGAGTGCGCGCTCAACTAGTGATGGGTCGATCAATTCGAAACTTCAACATCCCCCTTGGCAACTCCTCAGGCATTTAAATTTTGAAGATTAGTTCATTCAAATCCCAACCTTTGTTTTGGTCGCCAAAAGAGATACATTACAAATGTTCGAGTTCCTCACTGTAAAGGCCTGTTTACATGGAGGTGGTGGACCCCACGTGTGTGACGTAACCCGCCTAGCCGTGGTCGAAAAGTAAAACGCGTTTACATACAATCTTACAACCCCGGGGTGCTGGGGTGAGGTTTCTTAAGGTTGCTGTTGCGCTTGCAATCAAGGAGCATAGGCGTCCAAAGATGAATTCTCGGACACGTATGCATTTATTCATAAAAGCGTCACGCGTTGTGTTACGCGGTGTTAGGTTACGCAAGAAACCGTTGACTTACTACGCTATAGGGAATAGTTTGAAATATGGTCGATTTACAGCGCAGACCGGGCAACCCCCTAGGCGGGTCACCCCAGCTGTCATGTAAACGTGATCAAGATAAGATAAGAAATTATATGGACAGGCGGGTTACCTCACCTACCCCCACCTCCATGTCATCAGGCCCTAAGTTACGTGCCGAGTTTTTTTTTACCGCACGGATTTATCTCGCAAGCGCAAATAATAACATTACTAGCTAAATTACCATCCACAAACATTTTGCACAGGTGGTGGAATGACATGTAAAGTGATTGCTAGGTTCCTTATCATTTGCATCACTCTTTACGTTTTTGATCCCAACTTGTTTCATTGCTATCAACTGTATTTGCTTTTCAAGGATTAATTCTCATAGTTGGAAAATCAGAAATCAAGATGGTGTTTTTAAAACAGAAAGTAGCGTTTGTTCATGTTATGTCTTTAAGATCTAAGTTTAAACACCTGTTCTCGTTCACCAACTCGATTTCAACCGACTTTATTCATTCGTAGACGCAAGTATTCAAACACTGCAAAGTTCCGCACGAGTGTTCATCGGTTCCCTGCTTAAAGTAGCGCGCCAGATAAATGTCTTTTGCTGGGCAAAGTTAACTATAATATACAGATATTGAAAAATTTACACAGAAAGTAAAAATGTTGGTTGATCATCGTTGTACATTTTCATTGATCATTTGTTTTTACAGTTTCAACCCTCGAATTAATCTTGCTTCGTGGACTAATTTGACTTCAGTTATTTTTGTTGCCATCTGTAACTAATAAGTCCGAAAATAATTCCTTAAAACAATTGATTGATAATTCTGTTCAAGCCCATTATTCACTTCGATGTCTTTATTGTCACAAACAAATAAATCTATTGAGACTAGGCCTACTAATATGAATACCTATTTGGATCATCAAAACTGAACATGAAGATTCATAAAATTTACAAGCTTCTGATTGTATACATTCTATTTACATTTTTACTTACTTCTGATAAAATGCCATTTCACCTTCTTTTGCACATTTACCTAAACCTAAATCGTTAATTAGGCATAGCATCATGTATGAAAACTTTTCGAAAACTTGCTATTCATAAAATTGACCTAGTATTAAAAACATACAAATTTTGGCGAAATCTTATGTTAACAGCTTACCATTTCCATTTCGCTTTGTTTTCGAAATTGCAAACAAGTTTTTTTTCTCACTAAAAGTAAAATAAACTTGTAAACTATTCACGTATCATTCAGGTCATTTCAATACTGACCCTAGTAATGAACTTAGGAAAAATGCCGTTCTTGAAATATTCAAACAAATGACATAAATATACACCTTAAGAACTGATGAGCAAATCCTCTTTAAAAATTCCAAACAGACACTTGACCCAGAAAATTTCGGTTTCTGCTCTATGCATCGTGCACTTAACAGCAAGTACAAGCGTAAAATATAAGCTAGGGACCATCTATTGCCGATGATAGAGACTCTATACAAATCTATTTATAAATTCCCAATAGTTGGGTCAAACCCACTAACTATGGTGTGGTAGAGTCCTTTTCCATTAAGTTCTGTAAAACCAGAACAATGATAAATATCACATAGAGCCGATAAAACCTTAAGTTACAAACATGTGACTAAGGTGAGACTAGCCTCACTTTAACATGTGTTTCGTTAGGAGGGCAAGTTTTGATATTAAACGAAAGCATTGAAGTCAAACAAAAACGTACCCAAAGGAATAAAGGCAAACAATATAAACTGATAAGCCAACGAAGGTTGGTTACTGTATGTTGTGCTCAATCTAGGAACTTCAGCAATGACTGAAATATAATATTTTTACTATAAATATCTATATAATACTACTAGAAAAACAGCACCAATTATTTCATTAATCTTAAAATGGTGCTCTCTGACAATAAGTCTAATGTTTAGCAATCTGCATTAAAAAATATCGCCTTTTGGCGTCAGTTTTAACTTCCACTACTCGATTCCATGTTGAAATTTTCTCTTATTCCTTGGTTAAGGCAGTTCATGTGTCCGGTCAAGTGATAAACTTAATCTTTCTTGGGACTTAAAAGGCATCTCCATCTTCATCGTCTTTTTCCTTAGGATCAACTTCAGGATTCTCCGCTTCGACTGAGGTTTCTTTAGGCTCGTCTCCTGAATAGAAAGAAATAAAAAAAAGTTAAGCATCTGCAATATCATTATACGCGTCAGTTGTTCTTAAAACTCTAAAAAATAGTACCAGGTTTCATGGCAAGAAACCTCTAGGAATACTTCTTTACTCCTGGATTGGTTGCTTATCCATCCACATTTTTTTGTAATTAAAGAAGACATCTCACAAAATACAAACGAATCAAACCGTTTTGCTTCCATACCCCCGTGACAGCCAACATTTCACCATAAGGGGCCCATAATCTTCACATTTTT